ATCTAAATAAATGAATAAATACCCTATATTCATGAATCAATAGCTTTGCATTCTTAAGATGATGACACTACCCAAACTCATCTATAGATTCACTGCAGTCCCTTCAAGGACCCCAGCTAACTTCCTTGTAGGAATGGACAAGGTGATTCTAAAATATGTACGTAGTTGCAAGGGACCCAGAAGAGGTAAAACAATGTTGAAAAAGAACAGAGCAGCATTCACACTCCTTAATATCAAAACTTACTCAAGGTACTATGGCACTGGTGTAAATACAGACACAAACAGGAATCAATTAGAACAGAGAATACAGAAATAAACCATTACATCTATGTCCAACTGATTTCTGACAAGGGGCCAAGACCATTCAATGAGGAAAGAAAAATCTCTTCAACAAATGGTGCTGACACAACTAGATATCCACAAACAAAAGAATGGAACTGGACCCTTACCAGTTTTATTACCTCACAGTATATATAAAAATTAACCCAAAATGAGCCCCAAAAATCTAAATATAAGAGCTAAAATGATGAAACTCTTAAAATAAAACACAGGGGTAAATCTTCATGACCTTGGATTTGGTGAGGAATTCTTAGACATGCCACTAAAAGTACAAACAACAAAAGAAAAAATAGATAAATTGAACTTCATTAAAATTAGAAACTTTTTTGTGTCAAAAAGTCATTAAAGTCAAAAGATAACTCATGTAATAGGAGAAAATATTTGCAAATCAGTCATCTACTAAGGGACTTGTAGTCATACTATTTAAAGCACTCTTAAGTCTATAAGAAAGACAAATTGTCCAATTAAAAAATGAACAAGGAAAAAAAAAATGAACAAGGGATCTGAATGGACATTTCTCCCAAGAAGTTAAACAGATGGCCAATACCTACATAAGTGTAACAAACATCATTACTCATCAGGGAAATGCAAATCAAAACCATAACGAGATACTACTGCATACCCACTAAGATGTTTATGATCAAAGAGTCAGGTAATAACAAGAGTTGGTAAGGATATAGAGAAGTCAGAACCTTCATATACCACTAGTGGGAATGTAAAATGATACAGCCACTGTGGAAAACAGCCTGAGAGTTCCTCAAACATTTAAATTAATGTTACTGGGACGCCTGGATGGCTCAGTGGGTTAAGCCTCTGCCTTTGGCTCAGATCATGATCTCAGGGTCCTGGGATCCAGCCACGCATCCAGCAGGGAGTCTGCTCCCCCCCAACCCCCCGCCTGCCTCTCTGCCTACCTGTGATCTCTGTCGAATAAATAAAGAAAAATCTTTAAAAAAAAAAAAAAAAGAATAATGTTACCATATGAGCCAGTAACTCCACTCCTAGGCACATACCCAAGAGAAGTAACACACAACAACTTCTATGTAAATGTTTATAGAAGCATTTCTTACAACAGCCAAAAGGTAAAAATTTAAATGTTCATCAATTGACAAATGGATAAACAAATGTAGTTTATCCGTACAATGGAATATTACCACAAAAAAGAAATAAGTACCAATATATGCTACAACATACATGGGTATGATGTATACATATATCCAACATACACGGTTTACAATGAATAAACCTTGAAAACATTAAGTGAAAGAACCAGTCACAAGTGACCACATATTATGTAATTCCATTCATATGGAATGTGCAGAAGGATGGGAAGAGGGAGGGGTGTGAGTGATAAGCAGGTTAATAGCTAAAAGGTCTCTTTTTGAAGTGACGAAAATATTCTAAAATTGACTATGGTGACTACTGTGAATATACTAAAGACAACTGAACTGCACATTTTAAATGGGCGAATCGTTGGGCATGCAAATTTATCTCAATAAAGCGGTTTTTAAAAAAAAAGACAAGTGATAATTTTCAAGATCAGATGATGGAGAAAAGTCCATAATGAACAAAATATCAAGATTTTAAAAATACGGTATTATTTTTCCTTTTGTCTCAGGCTCCAATATGGACCAGCAAAGCACTGTTAACTTATCTTGACGTTCATTATCTTATATTTTTAAATTAATTTTAAATTAATTTTAAAAATATTACCTTGAGTTTTTCAAAACTTTCCTTAGAGCTCTAAACAAACATAGAGTGAATACCATATGTGAAATGAATTTTTTCAAAAACCAGCCTAAAATCTAAAATGCAAATGGGAAAAACCTTTTTGTACTATTGGAGAACCATGTTTTGAGTTCCATCTTGTGGCAGGCAAAATAATGCCTCTCCAAAAGATGTCTACATCCTAATCCCCGAACTTGTGCTTGTTAACTTTACGTGCAAAAGGGGCTATACAGATGTAATTAAGGAACCTGAGATAAGGAGATTTTCCTGGATTATTTGAGTAGGCCTAATATAACTATAAAGGTCCTTAGAAAAGGGAGGCAGGAGGGTCAGAGAGAGATGTAGATGTGACCGCAGAGGTCAGAGAGATTTGAAGATGTTACAGTACAGACACCGATGATGAAGGAACCACAAGCCAATGAATGCAACTGATCTACAGAGCTGGAGAAGGCAAAGAAATGGATTCTCCCTTAGAGAAGAAACATGGCCCTGGTAATACCTTAATTTTAGCCCATTAACCCCCTGAGACCCATTTTAGCCTTCTGGTCTCCAGAATTATAAATCTCTTTTAAGCCACTAGATCCGTGTCAAATTGTTATGGCAGCAATAGGAAACTAATACATATATTTTTTAGGTTTTGGGCCTGTCATCTCCATTGTTCAGTTTAATACAATGGTACTCTTCTAACATCCCACTGTCTTCTAGAAAATATTTTTCATATGAAAATGATCCAAAAGAAGCCACTTCCAAAGAATCCACTTTCAAGAGCCAAAGGAGCATAAATGCAGAACTCAACAATTAATAAGGGTAAAATTGGCACTCTCAAACTATAACCTAGTAGTTTAAAAAATTTGGATAATCCTCCTGAAAGGGATTATCTATGAAAAGAACAAGAATACATTCACTGCAGACTTCATTTTTAATACCTAAACACTCTAAAGGTCAAAAGTCACGAAAGTGTTGAACAATTAATGGTGCATTCATTTTAAGAAATATCATATTAAGCCTTAAAAATTATGCTTAGTGAGAATCCTTAATGACACAGGGAAATTCTTAGGTACAATCTTAAGTGAACAGATAAAAAGTATTATATAAATACAAAATATATACAGTAAAATCTCAAGTAACTTAAAATGTACACACATTACATATATGAGAAAATAAAAATGCAGGACAAATAATATAAAAAGTTAACAGTCATTTCTGTGATAACAGTATGCTGATTTTAATTTTCTTCTATAAGTTTTTAATAGTTTCCAAATTTTTAGCATGCACATTTATTTATTTAGAATCCACCTCATTACAAAAAAGTAGTTGAAGATACCTAAAGGTAAGCCTACATTACATTTACAATTGAATGGAATTTACATTACATGAAGATACCTAAAGGTAAGCCTACATTACATTTACAATTGAATGATGAAGCCCTGAGTCAATCATCTTATCCTACTTTCCAAAGCGGAAATTTTAATAAAGCCCTACACACTAATAAACTGTAATAAGGTTTACACTATGAGATAATTTCTATCTATTGGTTATTATTAGGATTTAGTCTAAATACTTAAGAGCATACCAAAAACTGAGTGGCATCAAAATAACTAAAAGATAAGCCTTTCTCCCAGTTCATTTAGCCTCCAATCTCATGTGCCCTCTACTTACTCCCCTCTTGCCACACTCCTTGGTGTTCCTTGAACAAACTAAGTACAAGCACACTATAGGGTCTTTGCCTGGGATAATGTGTGTGTATGTGTGTGTCTGTGTGTGCTCCTCTACACATCCACATGGCTATTCCTTTACCTCCCTTCATGTCTTGATCAAAAGTCACTTTCTTAATAAAGTCTATGTGTACCTTCCTATTTAACAGAGCCTGCCCTCTAGTCTGTCACCCTCCGTCCTTCCTAACTTTCTTCTTTCTGCACAGCAATTATCTCCTAACAAACTACACAATTTTTAAAAAATACTGTTTAATGTCTTTCACCTCCTTATGAAAAATAAATCATAAGAAGAGAAGCATTTTGGTGATGGTGAGACCTCATTTAGTCCTGGATACTTCAAAAGAACCTGACACATAGCAGATGCTCAATAAATATTTGCTGGATGTCTAAGTACACTCATGACATATCTAAGGACAAAATCAATAACACAATCTCTAGTAATTGTATCTACTACTTAAAATCAGACAATCTTCTGTTCCTGTGTAATCAAACAAAATATATGGCACATGAATTTCTTAAAAGAAAATCTCATCATCTTTATCATTCCTATGGGTTTCAGTTTAACAAAAACGTATACCTGAATTATTCAAAAATGTCCCAATTTTATTTTGTTAACACTGTGTAGTACAGACTGTGTAACCAGGGAAGCAAATTAAATAGTTTTTAAAATATTTATTAGGCCAAATATGTTGAAATGCTGTATACAAGATCCAACACTACTCTGTATTATTAATTAAAAACAGCTTTTAAAATTCTATTTGGTGTCATTACATATACTATATACACTGGACAGTTCATACTGAGAAAGTCAAATCCTGATAAGAATTCTGGTAAGTGATAAATCCCATAACTTTCTATCCTAATTGATATTTCTTCAGCTTGCAAATGCTCATTGCCTCTTTCAGACATTATTTTGGGAATGGGGAGGTCTACTCAAATACCAAAAGGCCTGGCCCATTTTGTGAATCAGTATGAACGTATGAGAACTGTCTACTATTTGAAGAGGGCCCCAATCTGAAATTCTTTCCCTGTGATTTCCTAAGAAACCAGGCTATCCCTGTTTATTTTTTAAAGCAGTTCTCTATTTAAATTTAAAATCTTTTACTCCCAGGGTTTGAAGCCTATACCATGTGACAGGATCTCTACAACTCCTAAATAAAAACATGTCTCACAGAATGCAAGGGAAAAGCCTCCCCAAAGATGTTGTTTAGCCAATACCTCTGAATGACGTTCTACACTTCCAGTGTCTGATCCAGAGTGTTGCTCATTTACATCATCCTCAACGTCTGACCCTGAATCCCGTTCATCCTGTACTGGGGTAGCGCCACCATCATCTGCTTAAAAATAAAACAAAAACCCACTTAAGGTGTAAGATGGATGACACCTACAACTGAAATGAACACAATGAATCAAGAATAATGTAAGAGCAAAGGTTACCACTGATGAAGCATGACTAATGATGCTAATGTCGTGAATAAGACAACACTATAATGCTTATATATAAATACCAACAATCAGAACACGTATTATGACATATGTGGCAGCAAAAAATACGTCATAAACGAAATGTGAAGCTTAAGAAACATCACTAAGGATCCAATCAACAACCTCTAAATAATAGTGTGCTCTTTAGCTACTTCAACCTTATGTTAAAACCTGAGTCTCTTCTCTCCACAGAATTTACTTACCACCTTCTAATGTACTACATGACTTACCAAGTTATTTGTTTAATATGGGTCTTTCCTCACTTGAATGAAAGGGCCAAAAGAGCAAGGATTTTGGTTCACTGCTGATTCCCTGGAGCCCAGAACAGTGCCTGGTACAGCACAGTAAATATTTGTTTATGAATGCAGAGCACAAGAACTCCAGTACAGAAATAGTATAAGTTCCTTAAAGTAAAGCATACACTGCACTGTTACAAAATAGTAAAATTGAATTGCTACCTACCTTTAACAGATACTTTAAAAATATAAAGTAAAATTGTATTGTGAGAGGGATTTAGGGCTGTTGGAGGATATGGGAAGACTTGGTTAGAAGTTTAATAAAAATAAACGAAATTTTAAAAATGAAGCAGGCAACTACAGGAAAACCAAAAAGTTTAAGAATGAAATCACTATCATACTAAGGAGCTACTCTACTCAGCTGAGAAGTAAAGAATATTTATACAGTCAAATTAAAAGTAATTTTGAAATGTAACAAATAATTATGCTGCAACAGTAAGAGTATGGGGGGGGGGGAAGGGCACATAAGAGGCTAAAATCCTGTCCTAACACAAAGGGAATCATTACGGAATGCCTAAAAATATGCAACAAGAGCATAAATTAAGAATATGAAAGTAAATATAAAAAAACCGCAAAAAGAATGAAAAGTCAGGGAACTGTTACTTTTTCAAGTCTTCCAGCACTTAACCCATAGACATATATTACATACAATTATTTATTTGAAAAATAATTTAATAATTTAGAAAGAACTGAAAACTGTTGAAAATATCAAGCAAACATTCTAGGCGAAACAGCAGGGCATGCCTGGAAACGCGTTCTGTAGTTATCACTATTCGCTATCATATAGCGAATCGAAGGGAACTCAAAACAGAAAAGAGATTAACATTCAGACATTTAGGCACTCCTGACAGGTAACACTTCACGGGACTAGGACACAAAGTGAAAGGAAACGGTAAAGTTCTTCCCCACTAGGACACGACTTATTCGTCCTTGTATCTCCGGTGCCTAGTACAGTGTTAGGAGGGGGCGCTCAGTGTTTACTGAACAAACAGGAAACAAAGAAGATCAAACTTCAGTGAGGAGAAAGAGGAAAGGTCTCAAGGTAAAGGAAAAGTACAAAATCACCAATAAGTACCAGAAGTACACGGCTTACTCTAAAATATTTATACAACTCAAACGAGGGTCCTACGTTTTCTTTACTAGGAAACCACTGTTGCAGGCGAGATTAAACCATCCCCAACCCCGTGTGAAAGGTCTAGGAAAGATCCCGCACCCCCTACTGAACCGCTCCCTTGAATTCTCGCAAAAGACTCGCACTACAGGAAAAAAGAAAAAAAAAAATCCGTAACAGGAGAGACCTTCCCTAGGACTTTTGCACATAGAAGCGCTTAATACATGAAGTGGTTTCCCAGTTTCAGCAAAAAACTTGCCAATTCAGAAGACAGCTCTCGGTCTAGAATCCCCTCTCCAAGGTTCTAACTTCCGGGCCGCAGCGGGTCGGCGGGCTCTTCGCGCGCCGCTTCACAGCCCACGACGGACCAAGTCGGGGGAGGAAACGTCTCTGGGGCCTCTTTCCCCTACCCGGCGAGGGTGAGAGGCCAAGCCCCACTGAATAACTGCTCCGCCCCCAAGCCCTGTCCCCCAAGTCCCTGCCCCACCTGACTGGTCGCCGCTGAAATATTCCGAATCCATGGCAGGCGGGCTCTCGGCGGGGAGTGTCCGCGCCCCGCGCCGCCCCCGTCACCACCTTCCTGGCGATGTGACCCCCGATGGCGCGGCCCGATGCTCAGGGGCTCCCGCTCGACTAGAGGGTTTCGGGGGTGCGTAGCATAAAACGGCAGCAGCGGCGGGCACAAACACTTCGACCTAAAAGCCCCGGCACAAGAAGCTGTACCAGGTAGGCGGGAAGGCGTGTAGATCCGCGCTCTACTTCCCAGAAGCACCTCTGAGGCCAAAATGGCGTCTGCCCACGACCCTCAAAGGAATGCAGCGCGCAGGCGCTGTTTCCTATCATCTGGCCAATCAGAAGATGCAACGGTAATGACGCACAGCGTGGCCGGAAAGAGACTACTGGGTAAATTGAGCGGGAGCTCCTGCTTCAGTTAAATACTTAACTTTGGAGGAGCCAGTTATGTTCCCCACGGAGATTATAACGTTAATTTATTGGTTCTCTGCCCGTGCTCCTTGTTTGAGAATCTTCTTGAGTTATGCTTCTGGAAGATGAAGACGCGCTACAACTACATTTTCACTATAGGGCAAATTAAGTATGCTTCCCGTCATGCAGCGAGGCGCTTGATTCCCGCCCTTAGTACGGGACGGAAGTGGTGCACTGCTCTCTGGGACTTGTAGTTCGAAGTTTCAGCAACTGTGGAGCGCTTGTAACTGGCGTGCTTTGATTGAAAGAGCTTCCTTTCAAGGCATTTTTCTTCCTTTTTTATCGTCTAAAAATAACAACTTGAAGCGCCTGGGTGAATAGTGGGTTAAGGGTTATACTTTTTCGGCTCAGGTCTTGAAAGGTGAGTTCAAGCCCCACCTTGGGGCTGTGAGTTCACGCCTCAGCATGGAACCTGCTTAAAAATAATGATGACTTAACTCCCATCTTAAGAAGCCATTTGGTCAGTAATACGAAGTACAAGTTTCTACTTCCAAAGGGGCCCCCTGATGAAAAACATTATTAAACTTTACTTGAGCCCCATGCTCTTGGTGAAGAGCAATGGCTAAGAAACCTCCTGACCTATCAGGTATCTTTGAAGGGCTCTCTGTAAAGAACCACCCTCCCGCCTAAATAAAACTCATTCTCCATCTTTCATGGCCCTTTTGTTAGCCTGTAACAAGACCAGGCAAAGAAAATCTTTCCATTGTGTCTGAGCCTGCTTCTAAGGGCCACTCTGACCCTGCAACTTCCTGTTCTTTGTTTCATGAATTATTGGCTGAGATTAAAGTCTGCCCTCCACACTGAGAAGCTAGACACAGATAAACATTTTCTGTTCACCTGACTGAAACTTCTGATTGCAAATCTCCCACTTTTCTCCCTATGAAAGTCTAAGGCAAAAAACAATCTGGGTAGGCACTCTGATCATATTTGGAGTGCTCTCCCTATTACAATCCCTATTACAATCTAAATAAAATCCATTTCCTTACTTGTTTGCTTTCGTCTCAGAGTGGAAAATGTTCTTGCCTTTTGATTAGAGGAGGGCCAGTAGAGGTAAACAAAGATTCCCCAGCATGTATAGACCTGCATACATTGGGCCTTTTGTTAGCAAAACATAGACTGGATTTCTAGGTATGTCTAGCCTGTTGTAAGGCCTAATTTAGTGCCCTGGAAAGTCCACCTCCTACCTTGGGCTTGAGAGACGTGGATTCTCTGATGCCATCTCTGCTGTAAATTCTCAAAGCGCCCTTAGTCAAGACACATCCTTGCTTTGATATTCCTTGAACCCTTTCTTAGCCAGTCAGAATATGCTGGCAGAACCCAGTTCTGGGTTCCAGAAATCGACATGGGAAGGGAAGGAAGAGAGAGGGGTGGTTTCTCTCTAGAAATTCTCATTTTCTTATAAGACAGTTCACTCCTTTCCCCAGTAATAGAAACAGTTTTGAAATCTAAGCCTGCCCCTACAATGGGAATATTACAAGAATCCTAAGAACAAGGAATTAACAGTGTCTGAAACCAAAGATATAAAAATAAAGTATTAACTTCCTTTCACTTGAGAAAGGAGACCCTAGGATCTAAGCTTTCTTCCAAAGAGAGTGGGTGAGAGTATACCTGTGTAAGTTAGGCAAGATGAATAGAGGAGAAGTCCATGAAGATGTTCAGTGGATGGGAACCCAGTGGAAATCCTGCCATAAAGAGGTTGTAATTTCACAGGAGGGACAGGACCAACAGCCATGAAAGTGATTGGGCTAAACAATGCAATTGCAAGAAGATAATTACTGAATTTTAACATAAAGATTCTAACTGTTCCAGTGGTTTAAAGAATGGAGCGAGAGAAGGCAACTGAACATGCAGCAATGTGCTGAGATCCTGAAGGCTGTAAAGAAGCATCAGATCTAGTTTTTGTACTCAGGAAGCCAACAATGTATTTAGAAAAACAGGACACACTTTTTGAATTAAACAGAGTCTTAAGTTAAAGCAGTATGCTTGTCAATGCAAATACAGGTCCCTGAGAGTTCCCCAGAACCTTTTCACCAACTGACTGTCCCTTAGACCCCCAATAGAGAAATGCTAGAGCAGCACAGGTGTGTCTTTCTGAGTCTCAGCTGCCTTACTTTTAGAAAAAGATTTTATTTTTATTTGAAAGAGAGAGAGAGAGCATGAGGTTAATGGCGGCAGGGAGGTCAGAAGGAGAAGCAGATGCTCCACCTATCAGGGAGCCCAATGCAGGCTCAATCCTGGGACTCCAGGATCATGGCCTGAGTCAAAGGCAGTTGTTTTACCAACTGAGCCACTCAGCCACCCCATTAGCTACCTTGCATTTTAAGGACTGGCATCTCTCCAATCTCCATGCCCCACTCCAGCCCCAGCACAGTTGGTCCATGCCAGTGGTAGTGGAAAGGCACCCAAAAGGGAGGCTTTTTTTTTACCCGCAAAAGATACTAAGGACAGAGAAGAGATGAAGGGAGGGAGGGCTTGCAGCAGTTCACTTTTCCCCTTAACGGATAACCCAAAGACGGTTCCCTAAGTGAATACAAGATTTATTCAGCCAGTCTGAGAGACTGTACCTTGCCAAAAATGTGTCAGGAATGAGAGGTCACAGCATACCAGGAAAAACCTGGCACGGGCAGAGCTGCAACCTGAGGCTCAGAGATCTGGGTTCTGGGCCAATCTCTGGGCTTATTGGGCTTGCTGAGCTGGGACGAGCTACTGGCCTCCTATATGAGTCTCAGTTTCCCTGTATGTCAAATGAGAGTGTTGAATCAGAAGATTTGAAGGCTCCTTAGTTTCATTATTCTGTATCAGAGAAGTCCAGGCTCCAAAGTCTGACCCTCCTTCTTACGCTTGAGCCACTAGGGGGCCCTGCTAGTGAAAAAAAACAAATGGAACAAGTATGTCCTAAGGCTGCACCCCTGGCTCTTCCTCACACACACCAGCCTCACAAGTCACTGGGATACATGAAAGATTTGTCCTGACTGGCTGTTTGTAACACTGAAAACTGAAACTCACTCTAAATCCATTAATAGTGGATAATCAATCACTGAATAACAGTTTCATGGCATAGAACACTAATATAACTGAAGTGAATCTTTAGCTCTCACATGGATATCCAGATTAAGTAGAAAAAAGTACTTACAGAGTACTATAAATGGTATAACTTTATTTATGTGAACAACTAAAACAGCATACAAAACTCAAACTAACAATTCCTTAGTAAATATGGTGAGAAAAGGACTTTCTAACAAAGGTTGAAAAGCCAAAAGCCATAAAAAACCGAAACATTTGACATTAAAATAAAAACTTAAAAAAAAAAAGAAATGAAAACTTAAATGTGTGCGTGGCAAAACCAATACATTATTAGCCCAACCAAAATATAAATGATTAAGAAAATTTTTTTTTCAATTCATATTAGAAACCAAGGACTAATCTCCCTAGAGAAGACTATAGAAGAAATCAATAAGAAGATTAATAACTCAGGCGCCTGGGTGGCTCAGTTGGTTAAACGGCTGCCTTCAGCTCAGGTCATGATTTCAGGGTCCTGCGACTGAACCCTGTGTAGGGCTCCCTGCTCCTTGGGAAGCCTGCTTCTCCTTCTCCCTCTGTCCCCCCCACACCCCAACTCCTGTTCTTGGCTTGCACCTTCATTCTTTCGCTCTCTGTCAAATAAATAAATAAATAAATAAAATCTAAAAAAAAGGAAACTAATAACAGAAAAATGGGTAACTAATATGACAATTCACAGAAAAGAAAATACTAATAGCTTTAAGACACATGAAAAGGTATTCACCCTAAAAGAAAATTAAAATTATATTGAGATATTATTTTCACTGCACAGATTGCAAAAATCCTTTAACATTCTACAGGTAAGGCCATAGAGAAAGAGGCCTTCTCATAAGGTGCTATGGGGGTATACGGGTATAGTTCTCTACAGAATGCAATTTGGAAATATTTATAAAAATTACAAATGCATATGCTCTTTGGCCCAGCACATGGGCCAATTTCACTTCAGCAAATGTATCCTACAAATATACGTGGCCGTGTACAAATTACATATCTATAAAATTATTCATTGCTGCACTGCTTGCAAAATATTGGAAATAACCAAAATATCCAAGTAGGAAGAATCACAAAATTATGATACATTTGTACAATGGAATGTTATGTAGCTACAACAAAAAATGAGGAAACTCTCTTATGTACTGATACAAAAAGATATCTAAGCTGGATTCAGTAAAAAAAAATGAAAATGCAGAACAGTGTTAGAGTATCCCATGTTTTATGACAAGGAGAGGATAACATACATTTGTTGTTGCTTGTAACTATATTTTTAAAATTTGAAAAGTAGTATAAAAAAACGTATTTGTTGTCTGTTGGGGGAGGGAGGGAGAAGATGAGAATAAGCCTTTAAGTTTTTCCATAACACATAGTCCTTGCTCTTGATCCACATGATAACATCTATCTGATTCTATTTAATATTATCATGTTATATCAAATGATACAGCCCACTAATAGGTAACCCACAATTTGAAAACTGAAAGTGCCAGTCTTCACTTGCCCATGGTGTGGAAGCCACCTAGGTCAATTTGCTATAATCGGGCTTCATCTCCACCCAATGATCCAAGCAAAGATGTTTTTGTGGACTCACTCTGGTCTCACCGTG